TGAGGTGGGAGGATCACCTGAGCCCAGGGAGGTCGAGGTTACAGTGAGCCGCGATCATGCCACTGCACTCACTCCAGCCTAGGTGACAGAGCAAGACTCTGTCAAAAAATAAAAAGAAAAAGGAAATTAAACCAAAAAAAAGACAGCAATTTCCCAACCCATTCTTCTCAAACCTCTCTTCAGAGGCAGCCAGTTTTTTTGTTTTTTTTTTTTTTTAACTATGTTTTTCTAGTGGCTCACTTTATTCCTCTAAAATAGTAACTTGTCTATGTGGTGCCATAACGGTTCAGTATCTGGACACGATGCTGCACTACCTACACCTTTGGGGATTCTTGGATCCTGACTCAGCTACCTCATTCCTAGACACCTGGTACACTATAGTGTGTCAGGGACATGGGTAAATGTGCTTTAGGTTTGTGTGGGATATTTGCATTTTGTTAGGTTGTGTGTGTAGTTGAGCACCCAAGGGGTAGAATGTGGTGGATCTTTGTTTTAGATACACCACAACTGGAAACTCGTTTACTGAGGCTATTCAGTTACCCTAAACTACTGTTTCTACCAAAAAGGCAGGATAAATGCTCCCCCAACACACACCTTTAATTACCAATTTTCAGGGTAAGGGGTTGAGGTAATAGGCACCTCCAGTTTTCCCTTTCTTTTTGAGTAGTATTATGAGCTCAAAGCTTTTTATATATTCACTATGATTCAATCATGACAGTTGCTAATTTTGGTGTTCAAATTGCCCCAAATCTAATGTCCAAGTTTTCTTTGTACTTTTCTTATCTAGGCCTAGGATCTTTTAGTGACAAAAAGTATTTAGAAGACAAAATCAGGCCAGGCGTGGTGGCTCACCCCTGTAATCCTAGCACTTTGGGAAGCTGAGGCAGGTGGACCGCCTGAGCTCAGGGCTTCAATACCAGCCTGGGCAACACGGTGAAACTGCACCTCTATTAAAACACAAAAAATTAGCCAGGCATGGTAGTGTGTGCATGTAGTCTCAGCTATTGGGAAGGCTGAGGCAGGAGAATTGCTTGAACCTGGGAGGGAGAGGTTGCCGTGAGCCGAGATTGTGCCACTGCACTCCAGCCTGGATGACAAAGCAAGATTCCATCTCCAAAAAAAAAAAAGAAAACAAAATCTGGGTTACAGGATTGATCATTGCTAATGGGGTGTTATGGCTATTCAGATGACAGAGGTAAAAAATGTACTTTGGGCCGGGCGCGGTGGCTCACGCCTGTAATCCCAGCACTTTGGGAGGCCGAGGCGGGTGGATCACGAGGTCAAGAGATCAAGACCATCCTGATCAACATGGTGAAACCCCGTCTCTACTAAAAATACAAAAAATCAGCTGGGCATGGTGGCGCCTGCCTGTAATCCCAGCTACTCAGGACACTGAGGCAGGAGAATTGCCTGAACCCAGGAGGCGGAGGTTGCGGTGAGCCGAGATCGCGCCATTGCACTCCAGCCTGCGGAACAAGAGTGAAACTCCTTCTCAAAAAAAAAAAAAAAAATGTACTTTGTAAATTGTTAGTTCCACGAGGTTGTGATTGTACAGCAGTGTGAATCTGCTTATTGCCACTGAACTTTATTGCCATTGATAACTTTTAAATGGTAAATTTTATGTATATTTTGTCACAATAAAAACATTGAAAATTTAGTTTATAATATTTCCACTTTGAATTTACTGTCACAGAGTCTTTACCTGTCCGATTTTGTATTTTGTTTCTTTTTTATTTTTTTGAGAAGTCTCACTGTGTTGCCCAGGCTGGAGCGCAGTGGTATGATCTCAGCTCATTGCAACCTCCGCCTGCCAGACTCAAGTGCTTCTCCTACCTCAGCCTCCTGAGTGGCTGTGATTACAGGTGCCCACCACCATGCCTGGCTAATATTTGTATTTTTAGTAGAATTTCACCATATTGGCCAAGCCGGTCTCAAACTCCTGACCTCAAGTGATCTGCCTGCCTAGACCTCCTGAAGTACTGGGATTACAGGCATGAGCCACCATACCCGGCGTGTATTTAGTTTCTAATGTTAATATAGGTAGTTACTGATGGCCAGGCATGGTGGCTCACACCTATAATCCCAGCACTTTGGGAGGCCAAGGCAGGCAGATCACAAAGTCAGGAGTTCAAGACCAGCCTGGCCAACATAGTAAAACCCCATCTCTACTAAACATGCAAAACTTAGCTGCGCATAGTGGCAGGTGCCTGTGGTCCCAGCTACTTGGGAGGCTGAGGCAGGAGAACCACTTGAACCCAGGAGGCGGAGGTTGCAGTGAGCCAAGATTGTGCCACTGCACTCTAGCCTGGGTGACCGACCGAGACTCTGTCTCAAAAAAAAAAACCAAACTGTAGTTATTGACTCCATTCAAGACCAGCCTGAGCAATATAGTGAGACCTCTTCTCTACAAAAAATTTTAAAAATTAGCCAAGAGTGGTGACATGCGCCTATAGTCCCAGCCATTCAGGAGGCTGATGTCGGACGATCGCTTGAGCCTGGGAGCCAGAGGTAGCACTGAGCTGTGATCATGCCACTGCATTCTATTGTGGGTGACAGAGTGATACCCTGTCTCTAAATAATAATAATAATAATACCAACACTATAATAAAAACACTGAGTGAAGTTTTAAATTTCTTTGTAGTTCTTTTTGTCCACAGAGACTATCCTACAAAGGATATACAATTAGTGTGTTGAGTTAAAAGAACTTGAAATAATTCTTTCTCTGCTGTTTATATTATCAATTAAATATACAGTTAGGTCAATTTGATGTGTTTTCAACTTCAGGGTTCGCTTTTTTTCTCATTTTCATTTAATTTTACTTTTTGATAAGATACAGCATAAGAGAGTCACATGGTGATAAGACAGAATCAATAATAGGATGTAGCCCTTTAATGCCACCAGAAATCCAGAGAGAGAAATAAGCCAGGGTTTTATTCAGTACCAGAGTGATCTCCATCCAGGGTCTGCTTGAAGCCCCAGTCCCTCTCTGACACCATGAGATTCCCTTGACTACCTGTCAGCCTCCTGGTGACTCCCGTGGAAACATCTCAGCTGTAGACAGCAATCTTCCTCTCGCACTGCAGCTTCAAGATGATCTGGTATTCTGCTGGGAAATTTTGCATGGTGTTCTCAAACCAGTATTTACCATCCCAGTAATGGGACCACCTTTTGCGATTGTCTGCCCCAAAACCAAACAAGGATACCTGGGAGATGGCATAAGACAAGAGATGGTGGTGGGGTAGCAGGCTGGATCCTGCCGTGCCCCCATGCACATGGATCATGCCTTCAGCACCACTCACTCAACCCCTAATGTGCCAGGCTTCCTCTTGGAGCTGGGAGGAGAGTGGAGTTCACCTTCTCCAGGGAAGACAGACTCTAAATACTATACTCATAGTGACCCCAGAGCCCAGAAAAGAGAGCATCAACTAGTTGATGGGAAGAGAGGATTGCCCTGGGAGACAAGGGAAGGACATTCCAGGCAGAGGGAGCAGGGTGTGAGAAGGTTTGGGGCAACTGTGTGTCTGGGGAACCCCAAGAAGCCCAGTGTGGAAGTCTGGGAGAGAGGAGAGAGGTCAGATCATGCAGGGTGTTGGAAGCCAGGCAGAAAATTTGAGATTTAATAGGAAGTCCCTGGGAAGACAGAAACATTGAGTGGCAGAGGAGTGAATGTCTGTGAGTTGCAGGAGGTATCTTACCTGGTCACAGGTATGCAAGGCATAGAACAGAGCCACAAACCCCAAGAACAGATACTGACCGTAGTTCTCCATCCAACTTTCCTGGATATACCTGAGGAAGCAGAGGCTGATCACCACGAAGAGAGAGAAGGGGGCTGACCTGAAGCCTGTCCCGTGGCTACTCACTGTCATGTTGTCCTACCACTTTCCCCTTTCCTTCCTGAGGCCCTCATCTTATCTTTGCTGTGTTTGGTTCCACCAGGAACCTGGACCATCTGAAATCCAAAAAGAAATCGAGGTTTGGGATTATTTCAGAGTCATCTGACAAACAGCATTCAAGCTTAAGTAAGCCTTGGGGGTGCCCCAGTATCCAGCCAGGATCTCTTTGGAGTCGCCTCTGTCACCCCCTACGGTAACCTCCCTCCTGACGTACCCAGGGTTTCTTTGCTTCCACATGCTTGTCTGTTTATGCAGTATACTTATGAACCACTCCAGACCAGATGAAGTCAATGGAAGCAGCAGCAGTTGTGTACCAGGGTCCTGAGGGCTGGCAATCCCAGGGTACGTAATACGCATGGTGGTCCTGTTCCCCACATCTGCCTCAAAGCGTAGGACAGGGGCCTGGTTCATCCTGAAAAGGAAGGAAGGATGGTCATTTAGAGGAGGAAGAGGCTTCAGCTTGGCCTTAGTCTCCACCCCCACCCTGCACCCACCTGAGGACCATGTCATGTTGGTTAATCCTGAAGCCGAGGCCAGAGCCCCGTAGAGACGTTGAATTTGCCACCACTGCACAGATCCAGCAGTTGGACACCACACGGCCCAGTAGGCATGGGGGAGGTACTTTAATGAGCTGCTGCTGCTTATTCTCAGCCTCCTTCTCTGACTTGACTCCCTCAAGTCCTTAGAAGCATAGGACGGAGGAATTTAGAGGCCTAACCCTGGGGCCATGATGGAGAGATGGCTAGGACCTAGGGTTGGGGCAGAGACTGGACAAAGACCAACTTTGTGCACTGACCAGCCACAGTATCAAAGCATCATTGGACACAGGATCTTGTGGCCTCTGTAGGGGTTCAACAGTGCTGTCGAAGCGTCTGTCAAACCAGTCAGGCTCGCCAGGCATGTGGAGGCAGGCAGAGCACATCTGGACCTCAGATGAGTAGTTGCATTTTCTGGAAAAGTTGCTGGGACAGTGGCAAATTCCCAGGTGTATTTTGGCCATATCACAGAGGTAAATTCCCAGGTGTATTTTGGCCATATCACAGAGGTTGTTCTGGCTGGAGTGCTGGTGTAGGAAGGAGGTGATCAGCTACAATGAAAACACATAGTGTGCCCACTTCAGCAGCACATATACTAAAATTGGAACGATACAGAGAAGATTAGCATGCTCAAGTGGGAGATGATGATGATGGGAGAGAGAGAAGGACAGCATTACCCAGAACGCCATGGAGGACCAGAGTGCCACAGCCAGGACTCCCGAGTTGGCTGGGGAGGCTACAGCTCCGACAAGAGGATGAGCGAGGGACAGGGGCTGCCTCGTCCCCCAGATGTGACTCGGGGGACCATGGCCAAAGAGAGGAGGAAGGGGCAGGGCAGGGTATGGCTGACGGGGCCATGATGGACAGGGATCAAAAGAGGTGGCAAGGTGGTGAGAGAAGTATGTCCGGTCTCACTCCAGGTCTGGCCACATGATGAAACAGGGAGGAATGTTTCATTCTGGGGTGTGCTGTGTCCGGCGCTGCACGAGGGTTCAAAGACCTAAGAGGGAATGGCAGGGGATAAAGAAAGACATACAGACAAACATATATAAAGCTGGGCCAGGCGATCCGAAAAGCTGATGGTGTCAGTCTCTTTGGCCCTCACCTGCCTCAGAGCACTTTATTTTTATATGTTTACAAAGTACATAGCAGAGGGAGGGTGTAGTTACTTAGAACAGTCTGTGGTTATAATTCTCATATTTTAATTAACATACTTCAGTTAACAACTACCTTGCAGTAAGGTTAGTGAGAGCTGGTTATCTTTTTCTAGGCCTCTCTGCTCTTCTCCGAGACACACACATTCCCCTATTATAGTTTCGCTTCTCTGGAGTTCACCCAAAGTTCACAGCAGCCTTGCCGCTGATTCCCCCAGAGCGGGTGGGCTACTCTGGCTCTCTACACCTCCCCCTTAACTGTAAATACAAACATAACAAAAATTGGCACAGCATAAATCATTACTGTTATTAATATGTAAGGTGTAGTACATTGAACAGCCTACACAGGAATTTTATGTTTAAGTTGTATTTAATAGCAGGCATCACCTTCACAGTGAAGGCAAGTTAGATTTATAGTATTGTTGGGTAGCGTTCAGAGCCTCAGGAGGGATTGCTGGCTGGGCACATCTCTGATGTTTGTTGGCCTTGCTGTGACTGTGTTTGTCTTAGGTCATTCTCCTCTGAGGATCTTACCCGTCATTGACTATTCAATTATTTATTTAGGTCCGGTATTACAATCAACATCATTTTTAGAGACTTAATGGTTTTGTAAATAATATTAGACCACAAGTCACTGAAGAGCATATGTACCCACATTCCTTATTTCAGCTTCAGTCTGTAACTTTTGTTAGGACTGATATTCTGTGTGTCTTTGTTTTGTACAAACACCTTTAATTTTAATACCTATTTTACTGTCTGTAATTTTAAATAATGCAGTTTAGCTTGTAAGTTTTTACTGTTTAGATTTCTGCAAATATGGACTGTTGCATATAACAAAAACAGAATAATTACACAGATAACAAGTATCATAAACAGCCAGAAGGCATGTCTCAGAATTTCAAAAGGATTAAGTCCCTGTAATTGACCCAATATCTTTTTTTGCTATTTTTGTAGGGTCCTTTATATCAAAGTGAGCTTGTTGTATTTTATCAATTTTCTGATGTAATTTTTTTTTTTTAAAGATGGGGTTTTACCATGTTGGTCAGGCTGGTCTTGAACCCCAGACCTCAGGTGATCCACCTGCCTTGGCCTCCAAAGTGCTTGGATTACAGGCGTGAGCCACCACGCCCAGCCTTCTGATGTAATTTAATTCACTAGTTAAATTATAACGACCTTGAGCTCCACGAAGTTGTTTTTTAACTGTTTTTCAATTCTATTTTGTATAATTTCAAATTACAGGGGTCACACAGATAGCAATGTAATTACTGTGACATCTAAGTCTTTGTCTTAATCTTATCGTCTCCAGTTTATTTTTTATAAACACAGTGACTGCCTCAAGAGCTGCCAGTCTGGCCTCTAACCTCCGATCAATATTCTCCTGAATGGCCATAAATTGAGAAACATTTGATGTTAATTGATTTACATAATGAGCTGTTTGAGTAGTTTGAGACAGTGAAATAGCAGTATCTGTAGAACTGGCAATAATTTGTATCAATGTTACAATACCAAAAATCAATAATCTCAGTGCTCTTTTACTTGGCAACAACATTTTTTTCATGTGTTGCAACACTGCCAAACCCCTATTCTCATACCACTCTTTTGTTAAATTGACAGGAATCATCACATATACAGGCTGCTTTAACAGTAGCAGACTTTGTTCCTTATTATAAGTAGATACACAAGAAATAAGATTACGGTTTATAAAAGACACATAAAATTTCCCTCCATATTGGGTTACATTGACCTCCCCTGTTACAATTACATAAGGGAACACAAGCTTTTAGTCCATACATGTCATTTGTAAATATGCTGGAAAAATCGACATAGTCCATGGCAGCGACCAGATGCCACAGTTCCTTTTGCAAAGTCCCATGGTTTGTTGTTAGAACATTACTGAGGAACGCTCTGAATGACATGTCTTCTGGGTACCCAGCACGATTAACTGTATTGTGAGACCGCTCACACATTGTCCAGTTTTTAGAAAGATTATGCCTTACAGGGAGCACACTAGCACAGAAAGTAGCACACCACTAAGCACACACTAGCACACGCTAGCACACCACTCCAGAAAGCCTTTAAATTTTATCCCAGTCTTACAGTGGCGATATTTCATGGGAGGTGTATACCTGAAATGTCACGTGTGTTGTTTGGAAATCCCCATTTACTAATCTCGGACTGGTAAAGAAAAAGGTTCCAAGGTCCTGAAAGATTGGCTATCCTAATAGTGGCTGCTGTCATTTTATCTTTTTGTTTAGTCTTTATACAACCTGTTTGCTCCATCATGGAGACACATAAAGGAGGGTCAGTGGTCCATCCAGTGTAATTATAATTTTCATAATAGGAGGAGTGCTCTGGAGCTCCAGCTGTTCCTCCAAGTATCTGTGTGTCATTTACTAACACGGGAACTGATTTACTTGCCCAGGTCACCGGCTGTAAAACTAAGGGCTCTGGGACAAATGCCCAGTACACCTCTGCTCCCTCATAGCACACCTGGCATGCTATAATTGTCATCATAGCCACGAACATAATTTCAGGAGTCATCTGGGGGCCTCGGCCAGTGATTATCGCTGCAGCTCGCTGAGTCAGTTGTTTGATCTGTCCCCAGATTGTTGGCGAGACTCATCGTTTTGTGGGTTTTTTTCCTCGGTCCCCTCTTTTTCTCTTTTAGTTTTAGCCTCCTTGAGGGTATCACCAATTCCTGCTGGTCCATGGCTGTGCCGAACGCAGTAGACACAACTGGACAACTGGCTCCTTCTGGAAAAACACAAACATAACATCATAGTAGGATCTGGTCCTTTCCAACGTCCTGTTTGGAGGTCCTTCCATAGGACCCAAGCCTTAGGTATTTCCCTGGTGGCAAAGTGCCTATCTGCGGGAGAATGCCCAGATTCATCACAGTTTAAAAAATTAAGGGTATACAGTGCAAGAGAAGCTCGGGTTAGCCGGAGTTCCTCTATAATTTTCTCTCTCTTCTTTTTCAGTTTGAGTTTTGAGAGTGCAGAGAGTGCGCTCAACAATAGCTTGACCTGTGGGATTATATGGAATGCCTGTAGTATGTACAGAAGTAAAAGTTGCACAAAATTGAGTGAAAGTAGCAGAAGTATAGGCAGGACCATTATCTGTTTTAAGACAAAGAGGCAGACCAAGGGTAGCAAAGGCGGCAAGGCAAAAATTAATTACATGTTTGGCCGCTTCCCCTGAGAGCAGTTGGGTGAAAATGAAACCAGAGTTAAGTATCCACCAGCACATGTAAATATTGCAAACGGCCAAAAGGGGGCAAATGAGTAACATCCATTTGTCACAAGGCGTTCGGCTGAAGACCTCTGGGATTTACAGCTGAGTTTTGAACTGGGAGGAAAGTTTGGCAGGCAGAGCAAGTTTCAACAAGCTCTCTGGTAAGTGAAAACCGTTTGTACAGAGCACTAGCGTTTTGATGAAATGTTGTATGGGAGTCTTGTGTCTGGGAAATAAGTGAGCCCACTAGACGGGGGCAGACAAGACTGTCCACAGTTGCATTGCCTTCTGTCAGAGGACCTGGGCGATCCGAGTGTGATCTGATACGTCCAATAAATAGAGGATACTTTCGCTGGTGGAGCATGCGCCGTAGAATTGTAAACATTTGAAAAATCTCTTTTGAGGCAGACGCAGTGAGAGTCGTTGCTAAATGTTGAATGGCTCCCACCATGTACTTGCTGTCTGAGTAGATATTAACTGCCTGTGAGTGATCTCTGAGAACCATATAAACAGTATAAAGCTCTACTCGCGGAGCAGAAGTAAATGGGGTGGCCTCCACCTGAGAGCTGCTTGCCGTAAGCGGCTTTTTTTGAACAGCTGTCCTCAGTAAACACTAATTGAGCTAAAGGAACCGGCTGTGTTTGGACGATTTTAGGAAAAATGAATGGATGTTGTTGTGTAAATGAAAGTATTTTAGAGGAAGGATAATGACATACTATCTGTCCTGTAAAATTTGCAAAGACTAGTCCCCAGTCTCCAGCAAATTGTCACAGTCAGGATTGTTGAGTGGTGTTATATGGCACAATGACTGTATTGGGGTCTCGACCAAAGATCTGATAGCATCGTTCTCTACCCTTAGCTATTAGAGATGAAACTGCTGAATAGTAAGGTGTTAAAGACTTAGGTGGGTTTGAGCCAAATATAACCACGCCTCAGGGGAGTCTTTTTGCCACAGCACTGTAGTGGGTGTATGAGCAGTCTGTAAGATAATTAGATCTAAGGAAGTTGTGGGTTAATGCGAGTTAACTGAGCCTAAGCTGTGGCTTCTTTCACCTGTTTAAGAACTAATGTTGCTAGTTCAGTTAAAGTTCTAGAGGAGGTGGGGTCAGGATCACCTGGCAAAATTGTAAAAAGTGGTGGTAATTGGCCAGCAATTTTAGCATAGGGCAAAGCCAACTAATGTCTCCAAGGAGTTTTTGAAAATCATTTAAAGCATGTAAACAGTGCCAGTGAATTTGCAGCCTCTGAGGACGAATAGTGTGACCAGAAATGATTGTTCCTAGATACT